GCAATGTGCAATGGAGTCTTGGCCGTCCTGGGACTCTCTCTCCTCATTGGCTGAGTGCAGCAGTGGGGAGCCATTGGTTCCTGCTGCTGTCAATCACAGCCAGTGAGCCAATGAGGAGAGAGGGGCAGAGCAGAGACAAATGGAACCCTGTGTGAAATGGACACACGAAGCAGCAGGTGCCCCCATAGCAACCTGCTTGCTTTGGGCACCCCGACAGGAGATAGGGTCCAGGAGAGCCTGCAGGGGACCCGAGAAGAGGAGGATATGGGCTGTTCTGTAGGAAAGTTTAATATGTTTGTTATTTTTAGAAAAAAAAATGTAAGCATTTGGTATCTATTTAAATCCCACGTTAGGCCTCATGCATACTGATTGCTAAAAACACTGCTTTTATGGGCATCTAGCATTTTTTCTGCCTCTAAAAGCCCCTCCAATGTGTCCATATACACATAGGCATTTAGAGGCAGGAACATATAGTGGTAGAAAAAACCTACTGCCAGCATGTCCAGGATCAGCAGCATTTTTAGCAGAAAAAATGCTTCATGAATGTAAACATTCCTAAACACACATTAAACTCTTAATATTCTTTGCCAAATGTATAGCTTCATCCCATTTTCTATTATGTTTAGTCACTCTGCATAATACTAACTTGGGGCACTAGACATGTCGAGCACTCCAACATTCATCATTATTTTATTATAGCTATACTAGGACACATGTCTGGTCTGTCAAACTGTTATTCAGAGTAAGATTAGGCATTAGAAATTATACAAACAATTAAAACTAGTAAAAAGAGAAAATACATGGCCAAGATAAATATTGATGTATCAACATATATGAATACGGTAAAACAGTCAATGGGCAAAACAGATTTTGAGAAGTTGATTCATTTTTATTTGCAACATATGTAAAGAAAGCAGAAGAAATGGAAGATAACAGAGGTAAAAAATGAAACATTCCTCAAAGATTATTTAAAGTGTATCGAACTGAATGAAATACTGTTGAGTATCTTGGACTTAAACTGGCATTAAAGGATTGTTATAGTAACCAGTCACTATCCTATCATCATCTTACTTTGGGAGCTGTGGCGTAGCAATAGAGCTACAGCGAGAGCAAACCACTATATGGTTAAAGGCTCAAAAATAGGGAGGTGCTCAGACTTGGACTCAAATTCAGAAATGGTTGTCTATATCATTTTAATTACACCTTTCATACCTACATACAGTCAGGTCCATAAATATTGGGACATCGACACAATTCTAACATTTTTGGCTCTATACACCACCACAATGGATTTGAAATGAAACAAACAAGATGTGCTTTAACTGCAGACTGTCAGCTTTAATTTGAGGGTATTTACATCCAAATCAGGTGAACAGTGTAGGAATTACAACAGTTTGCAAATGTGTCTCCCACTTGTTAAGAGACCAAAAGTAAATGGGACAATTGGCTTCTCAGCTGTTCCATGGCCAGGTGTGTGTTATTCCCTCATTATCCCAATTACAATGAGCAGGTAAAAGGTCCAGAGTTCATTTCAAGTGTGCTATTTGCATTTGGAATCTGTTGCTGTAAACTCTCAAGATGAGATCCAAAGAGCTGTCACTATCAGTGAAGCAATCCATCATTAGGCTGAAAAAACAAAAAACAAACCCATCAGAGAGATAGCAAAAACATTAGGCGTGGCCAAAACAACTGTTTGGAACATTCTTAAAAAGAAGGAACGCACCGGTGAACTCAGCAACACCAAAAGACTCGGAAGACCACGGAAAACAACTGTGGTGGATGACCGAAGAATTCTTTCCCTGGTGAAGAAAACACCCTTCACAACAGTTGGCCAGATCAAGAACACTCTCCAGGAGGTAGGTGTATGTGTGTCAAAGTCAACAATCAAGAGAAGACTTCACCAGAGTGAATACAGAGGGTTCACCACAAGATGTAAACCATTGGTGAGCCTCAAAAACAAGAAGGCCAGATTAGAGTTTGCCAAACGACATCTAAAAAAACCTTCACAGTTCTGGAACAACATCCTATGGACAGATGAGACCAAGATCAACTTGTACCAGAGTGATGGGAAGAGAAGAGTATGGAGAAGGAAAGGAACTGCTCATGATCCTAAGCATACCACCTCATCAGTGAAGCATGGTAGTGGTAGTGTCATGGCATGGGCATGTATGGCTGCCAATGGAACTGGTTCTCTTGTATTTATTGATGATGTGACTGCTGACAAAAGCAGCAGGATGAATTCTGAAGTGTTTTCGGGCAATATTAGCTGCTCATATTCAGCCAAATGCTTCAGAACTCATTGGACGCCGCTTCACAGTGCAGATGGACAATGACCCAAAGCATACTGCAAAAGCAACCAAAGAGTTTTTTAAGGGAAAGAAGTAGAATGTTATGCAATGGCCAAGTCAATCACCTGACCTGAATCCGATTGAGCATGCATTTCACTTGCTGAAGACAAAACTGAAGGGAAAATGCCCCAAGAACAAGCAGGAACTGAAGACGGTTGCAGTAGAGACCTGGCAGAGCATCACCAGGGATGAAACCCAGCGTCTGGTGATGTCTATGCGTTCCAGACTTCAGGCTGTAATTGACTGCAAAGGATTTGCAACCAAATATTAAAAAGTGAAAGTTTGATTTATGATTATTATTCTGTCCCATTACTTTTGGTCCCCTAATAAGTGGGAGGCACATATGCAAACTGTTGTAATTCCTACACCGTTCACCTTATTTAGATGTAAATACCTTCAAATTAAAGCTGACAGTCTGCAGTTAAAGCACATCTTGTTTGTTTCATTTCAAATCCATTGTGGTGGTGTATAGAGCCAAAAATGTTAGAATTGTGTCGATGTCCCAATATTTATGGACCTGACTGTATATGCCCTATAAAGGTTCTTAGTGAATGGTAGATATTAAGAGCAAAGTAATTCAGTTTAGCTGTTGTTCTATATCACCTATTCTCAACCGGGGTTCTGTGGAAGCTCTTAAGGGTTTCTTGAGCTGTTGCTTATTGGCCTCCTGACTGATAGTGCCTGCATAGTTCTGGGAAAAGTGCCATTTGGCAGAGCCAACAGCATGACAGCAAATATCTTGGGTGGCATTCTGACCTCCACTATAAGGGGGAATTTTTTTCATTGATTTTCAATTATCTGGTTTTCGCAGGGGTTCCCCAGGACCTGGAAAATATTTTAAGGGTTCCTCTGGAGCAAAAAGGTTGAGAGAAAAACTGCCTTGGATTGTAGTTTGCTTCAAAGATCCAGAGATTTCAGCTACTCCCAGTTGGGATAAACAGAGATGAGGCCATCTTTGTGGACTTTAACCCCTTGGCACCAGGGCCTCCCGGCCCATTAAGGGGTTTCTGATCCCGGGAGGCGGGGCGGGATGTAGGGTCATATAACCGCCATGACGGGCTGTCACAGTGATCACATGATCGTACAGTTTATGTAAGTAGTGATCAGGAGTTTTCTGTGAAGTGGTGGTAACTGTGCAGAGAGCGTGCAGGGCATGCGCTCTCAGCACATGTTTGTGTACATCGGGTACTCCCATATGTGGCCTCTTGGCATCAAGGCCCAACCCCGACGCCGCATATTTGCTTACCGCTGGAGCTAAGGAGTTAAAACTGCATCATAAGTATTTGTGCATCCCTAGCAAGCACCTCTGGCCTCCATTAAAAACTGCAGAGAAGGTGGTAATGCTAGCTATCAACTATGAGGACAATCCACAATCCACTAAAGCCACCACTGCCACTGTCAAACTAGTAATAAATAATACAATTAGCTTTAATAATTTCAAATGGTCCTGCACAGATACATCTGAAAATATTTAAAGGTATAATTCATATAACTGTCTATGGGACATTGCACTGTGCAATAAGTCCTAGATATTGCCTGTTTTAAATTCTAACAGATGGCGGTATCAAGGTTCAGGGACGAGGGAGCCCAGACGATACGTGAGGTACAGCCTTCTGTTGAATGTCCTTGAAAATGGAACAGTACGCTGAAAGATTGTTTTGAGAATTCAAGTTTCCCAATCCAGACACAGGGAAAAAACTGTAAAAACACATCACCACCAGATGTCAAGGATACACATTCATAGTGACTTGTTAACAGGAGCGAGCACCTTGTTTGGTGGATGAGGAATGAGGCAAGAGCTTATTTTGGGAAGGTAGTGTGGAGCAGCTGATTCTGATGGATAGATTTCTGACAGTGCATAAGCAGAATTGCAAGAAATCCATACACTACATGACTGTAGCAAACAGGCCCCATTTAAAAGTTTTGTTGGGCTCTAGGTGATTCTGTGCAGCCAGGACACACAATTTTGCATCTGCATGTAGCTCACAATGCATACCATCAAAAGAGATACGTTTCATCTCCTGCAACTAATATTTGGGTTTTTTTTTTGAGATGAAACATAACTAAATTAATAAAATATCTGTAATATCACTGAAAAAGAGAATGTATGACATATCATACTGTTTTTTATATCTAATGTTACATAAATGTTTCCTTATTCCATTCATAAAATATTTCTTTGTGTTACTCAATGTTCAAATCTAGTTAATTGGAGAATCACAGCTGGGCTTTTTCAATAAATCAGAGCAAAGAACAATAACAAAGTATGATAAGGAGTACCTCATAAAAGTTAGTCTGAAAGTTGCAGGTAAATTGAACCAAAAACTAATTGGTTGCTACCCGAGATTAATGAAGTCAAAACTTAAATTGTATAAGGTTTAGGCAAAGTAGCTTAATATAGTTTCTTCTATACCAATTGTCGGGTAATTTGAACAATTAATTAAGTCAGTGATATCAATTATTTAATCGCACCCCCCCCTGCCATATAAGGTAATGACAGTCGCAAGGTGGTTCTCTCATTCTGGGAGGATGTCATACGACGTCCTCCCACTCTAACCGCATGTGCGCGGCTCCAGGAGTGTGCAGCGTGGCGATTAGTGGTGCGCTGTGTCCCTCGGACACAGCGGATCACCGATAAACGGAAAGAGTTGAAGATGTCGATTCGGTCATGTGATCAGCTGTGTCCAATCACAGCTGATCGCATGTAAATAGGGAAATGCCGGTTATCGGCATTTCTCTCCTCACGAGCTGTCACACTGACAGCTCGTGAGGAGAGGAGAGCCGGTAATCGGCATTCCTCGGAGGGGACATGGACACTGATCATCAGGGCACTGATCATTTGTGCGCCCTGATGATCAGTGTAGCCCCAGCAGAGCCACCTGTCAGTGTCCATCAATGCCAGCTGTCAGTGCTCATCAATGCCACCTGCCAGTGCTCATCAGTGCCTCATCAATGCCACATATCAGTGCCTACCAGTGCACATCAATGCCACATATCAGTGCCCATCTGAGCTGCCTTTCAGTGTCACCTATCAGTGCCAGTCAGTGCCACCTATCAATGCAAGTCAGTGCCGCCTGTCAGTGCTGCCAATCAGTGCCACCTATCAGTGCCAGTCAATGCTGCATAGCAGTGCCAGTCAGGGCCGCCTATCACTGCGCATCAGTGCCACCTATCAGTGTCCGTCAATGCTGCCTATCTGTGACGTCTAACAGTGCCACCTAACAGTGCCAGTCAGTGCCCGCCTATCAGTGCCATATATGTGTGCTGCCTTTCAGTGCTCATCAGTGATGCCTGTCAATGCCCATCAGTGCCACCTACCAGTGCCTCCTTATCAGTGCCCATCAGTGCTTCCTATCAGTGCCCATCAGTGCAGCCTATCAGTGCTCTTCACTGCAGCCTCATTACTGCACATCAGTGAATGAGAAGAATTACTTATTTACAAAATTTTATAACAAAAACTAAGAAAAAAAATGTTTTTCAAAATTTTCAGATGTTTTTGGTTTGTTTAACAAAAAATAAAAAATTCAGAGGTGATTAAATACCACCAAAAGAAAGCTCTATCTGTCTAAAAAAAATGATAAAAATTTCATATGGGTACAACATCTCCAAGATATGCCCAAGATAAGTCAATAACAACCATGTATAACATCATGATTAGAGATGAGCGAATTATTCAAAAATTCGATTCGGCTGATTCGCCGAATTTGCGGGAGAAATTCGATTCGATGCGAATTTATTCGCTGCGAATTTAACTTATTAAAAGGGTTTCTAGGCTTCAGAGAGCCTTTATATTAGTGCAGAACACTGTACCTTTAATTTAAATGCCCTTGGAGTCTGCTGGGGAAGAGAAATAATACTGTCAGTCAGTATGACATGCAGATGAGTGCCGTCGATCTTAGAATCACCGCACACTTCACTCATTTGGGCAGTCACGGGGCACGACGAAGAAGAAGAATAAGAAGAAGAATGAAAAGAAGAATGAAAAGAAGAAGAAGAAGAATGAAAAGAAGAAGAAGAAAAGAATGAAAAGAATGAAGAATGAAAAGAAGAAGAAGAAGAATGAAAAGAAGAAGAAGAAGAATGAAAAGAAGAATGAGAAGAAGAATGAAAAGAAGAATGAAAAGAAGAATGAGAAGAATGAAAAGAAGAATGAAAAGAAGAAGAAGAATGAAAAGAAGAATGAAAAGAAGAAGAATGAAAAGAAGAAGAAGCAGAATGAGAAGAAGAATGAAAAGAAGAAGAATGAAAAGAAGAAGAAGAAGAATGAAAAGAAGAAGAAGAAGAATGAAAAGAAGAAGAATGAAAAGAAGAATGAAAAGAAGAAGAAAAGAAGAATGAAAAGAAGAAGAAGAAGAATGAAAAGAAGAATGAAAAGAAGAAGAAGAAGAAGGATGAAAAGAAGAATGAAAAGAAGAAGAAGAAGAATGAAAAGAAGAAGAAGAAGAATGAAAAGAAGAAGAAGAAGAAGAAGAATGAAAAGAAGAATGAAAAGAAGAAGAAGAAGAATGAAAAGAAGAATGAAAAGAAGAAGAAGAAGAAGAAGAAGAATGAAAAGAAGAAGAAATGAAAAGAAGAATGAGAAGAAGAATGAAAAGAAGAATGAAAAGAAGAATGAGAAGAATGAAAAGAAGAATGAAAAGAAGAAGAAGAAGAATGAAAAGAAGAATGAAAAGAAGAAGAAGAAGAAGAAGAATGAAAACAAGAATGAAAAGAAGAAGAAGAAGAATGAAAAGAAGAAGAAGAAATGAAAAGAAGAATGAAAAGAAGAAGAAGAATGAAAAGAAGAAGAAGAAGAATGAAAAGAAGAAGAAGAAGAATGAAAAGAAGAATGAGAAGAATGAAAAGAAGAATGAAAAGAAGAAGAAAGAGAATGAAAAGAAGAAGAAGAAGAATGAAAAGAAGAAGAAGAAGAATGAAAAGAAGAAGAAGAAGAAAAAATGAAAAGAAGAAGAAGAATGAAAAGAAGAAGAATTCCAGTACAGCAAAAAGTGTATCTGCAGAGAGCTCCGCTATTTCTGACAGTTCTCTGACAGTTCCTTCACATTTACAGCGGTTGAAACATTGTATCTATTTATTTCTGAATAAAAACATCTGTATCCTAAATGGAAACAAATAGATACAATGTTTCAACCGCTGTAAATGTGAAGGAACTGTCAGAGAACTGTCAGAAATAGCGGAGCTCTCTGCAGTGACACTTTTTGCCGGCTGATCGGGAAAAAAATTTGATTCGTGCATCCGAAGTTTGCTAAAATTCGGATTCGGTGCGAATCGAATTTTTCCTATTATTCGAAACGAATTCCACTTCGCCAAGTTCGATTCGCTCATCTCTAATCATGATTAATAGTATGACATAGACACATCAAATTTTATATTCCTCAATGAAGTCCACTAATTTTGCTAAAATTGTATGCCTAATAATAGTAAAAACTGGATAATTTACTGTCCACTTAGGTATCACAACCAAGGTACAGAGTACTGATAATCTGACTACTAGGTCTGCATTTATCAGACTGTCTCCTTTGCTACCTCTTCAGCAGAGTAAAGGGGTCAAGTATATCTACAGACTGCAATGATATAGCTTGGATTTGGATTCCCTAGAGGATTGTGATCGCAAATCGAATGATGTAAGGAAATATATCCAGTTATATTTAGGAGTATCAGATTTTTTCAAGCTAACAATCAAATTATACATTACCTAGAAAGTGTTGAATTAAGAGCCACACCCCGGTAGGACCTTCAGGGAAATCGACTGAGCACCTCAGACCAATAGAGCATACACAATGAGAGTGTGCTGATGGTGATGATCCCAGGATATGATGATGTGGATGATGATGATGATCAAAGATAAGGAGGATGAAACTGAAGAGATCAAGATGGATGCTCACAGAGAGGATGATGGTCAAGATGAGATTTCTATTTTCTATCTTAACTTCCCCTTCTATTCACAAAAATCCTATTATCTAGGGACTAGCTCAGAGGGTGCAATTTGGAATATTTACCTCTACCAATTAACTAATTGTTTGCACAGTAAGTGGGCTAGCTTGTTCACCAGATGGCACTCTAAGACTAGAAATCCTGATATTATGTGTTTTAAGAATAAGACTGGATTTTATTTTTCAATACAGTCTTATAGAGGATTTGTCGATTGCATAGTGTTTTTTTTATTATTTGTAATATTAATCTCCAGTGTCTTTTAATTTTAATCATGTGATGTTTGTGATAGAGGTGTGATTTATCAAGATCTCAATTTAATGGACTAATTATGACTTTTCCAAGGATCTCTGTATAAATATTGTATCATAATTTGTTCAATCTTATTTCATTTACAGTATACAGTCATATACAGTATATACACACATATATACTATATGTACAGTAAATAAATATATATATATATATTTATTTATTTATACACACTATATTGCCAAAAGTATTGGGACGCCTGCCTGTACTACACGCACATGAACTTTAGTGGCATCCCAGTCTTAGTCCGTAGGGTTCAATGTTGAGTTGGCCCACTCTTTGCAGGTATAACAGCTTCAACTCTTCTGAGAAGGCTGTCTACAAGGTTTAGGAGTGTGTCTATGGGAATATTTGACCATTCTTCCAGAAGCACATTTGTGAGGTCAGGCACTGATGGTGGACGAGAAAGCCTGGCTCACAGTCTCCGCTCTAATTTATCCCAAAGGTGCTCTGTCGGGTTGAGGTCAGGACTGTGTGCAGGCCAGTCAAGTTCCTCCGCCCCAAACTCATTCATCCATGTTTTTATGAACTTTGCTTTGTGCACTGGTGTGCAGTCGTGTACGAACGGGAAGGGGCCATTCCCAAACTGTTCCCACAAGTTGGGAGCATGAAATTGTCCAAGATGTTTTGGTATGCTGATGCCTTAAGAGTTCCCTTCACTGGAACTAGGAGGTCAAGCCCAGACCCTGAAAACCAACCCCACACCATAATCCCCCCTCCACCAAACTTTACACTTGGCACAGTGCAGTCAGGCAAGTACGGTTCTCCTGGCAACTGCCAAACCCAGACACGTCCAGCGGATTGCCAGACAGAGAAGCATCATTTGTCACTCCAGAGAACACATCTCCACTGCTCTAGAGTCCAGTGGCGGCATGCTTTACACCACTACATCCAACGCTTTACATTGCACTTGGTGATGTAAGGCTTGGATGCAGCTGCTCAGCCATGGAAACCCATTCCATGAAGCTCTCTACACACTGTTGTTGTGCTAATCTGAAGGCCACATGAAATTTGGAGGTCTTTAGCTATTGGCTCTGCAGACAATAGGTGACTTCTGTGCACTGTGTGCTTCAGTATGACCCCGCTCTGTCATTTTACGTGGCCTATGTGTGCACTTCGTGGCTGAGTTGCTGTTGTTTCCAGTTGCTTCCACTTTGTTATAATACCACTAACAGTTGATCGGGGAATAATTAGGAGCAAGGAAATTTCACGGATGGATTTATTGCACAGGTGGCAACATATCACGGTACCGCGCTTGAATTCACTGAGCTCCTGAGAGCAACCCCTTCTTTCACATTCTTTCACATGTTTGTAAAAGCAGTCTGCATGCTTAGGTGCTTGATCTTTTACACCTGCGGCCATGGAGGTGATTCCAATGATTTGGAGGGGTGCCCCATTACTTTTGGTAATATAGTATATATATATATATATATATATATTTATATTTTATATATGTATACTGTATATATATACACAGTTGTGTTCAAAATAATAGCAGTGTGTTGAAAAAAGTGAATAAAGCTCAAAATCCTTCTAATAGCTTTTATTTCCATACACACAAATGCATTGGGAACACTACACATTCTATTCCAAATCAAAACATGAAGAAAAATATATCAAATTTGTGTTGTAGAAAGGTGAATATTAGACTGTTCAAAAAAATAGCAGTGTTTGTATTCTTCTTTACAAACTCAAACATTCACTATATAAACTGAAAAATGTTTGAAGATTTTGCTTTCCTTTGAATCACTTAATTAATATTTAGTTGTATAAGCACTGTTTCTGAGAACTGCTGTATATCTGTGTTGCATGGAGTCAACCAACTTCTGGCACCTGTGAACAGGTATTCCAGCCCAGGATGATTGGACTACATTCCACAGTTCTTCTCTATTTCTTGGTTTTGCCTCAGAAACTGCATTTTTGATGTCACCCCACAAGTTTTCTATTGGATTAAGATCCGGGGATTGGGTTGGCCACTCCATAACATCAATTTTGTTGGTCTGGAACCAAGATGTTGCACGTTTAATGGTGTGTTTGGGGTCGTTGTCTTGTTGGAACACCCATTTCAAGGGCATTTCCTCTTCAGCATAAGGCAGCATGACCTCTTCAAGTATTCTGATGTATTCAAACTGATCCATGATCCCTGGTATGAGATAAATAGGCCCAACACCGTAGTATGAGAAACATCCCCATATCATGATGCT